GGCAGCAGGTCCTATGGGGGCTCAAGGAAAGGTAGGAAAAAGTTAGAAATGCAAAATCTAAGCGATAACAATGTTGGCCAGTGGTCATTGACCAGGGACTTCATGAACACCTAGTCTTACTCCACCCAGGTAATGGTGTTGGTGATGTATGTGAAGATGACTTTGACAATGATGCAGTGGTTGATCCTCTGGATGTGTGTCCTGAAAGTGCAGAGGTAACCCTCACAGACTTTCGCGCCTATCAGACTGTCGTCCTGGATCCTGAAGGTGACGCTCAGATTGACCCAAACTGGGTTGTACTCAATCAGGTACTCAGGGATGTGGGCTGGGCAGGTACACTCAAGACCACATCACTAGATGAGGTCCAGAGGTGGTGGTGGTGGTGGGAATCGGGTACTTGGATCAGGGCTTTTGTTTTTTTTCTTTATTCAACCCCTAGGGCATGGAAATTGTTCAGACCATGAACAGTGACCCTGGCCTGGCAGTCGGTATGTAAGGGATACCTAGTTCAATATAATTCCCAAATGGAAGGGATAAAAGAGGGTCAGGGAGGATGGAGAAGATAGGCAAAGATGAGAGAAAAGGCAGTGAAGCTAGCCAGCCATAAATATAGCTGGCATCCTTCTCAACTCCCCACCCCACAGTAGACCATCAGTATCTTTGCTGCCCCTAACTTTTCTCTCATCCCCAACCTAGGATATACAGCCTTCAATGGTGTGGACTTTGAAGGCACCTTCCATGTAAACACAGTCACTGACGATGACTACGCAGGCTTTCTCTTCAGTTACCAGGACAGTGGACGCTTCTATGTGGTCATGTGGAAGCAGACAGAGCAGACCTACTGGCAGGCCACACCTTTCCGTGCTGTTGCTCAGCCTGGCCTGCAACTCAAGGTACCCCAGCTGCCCAGTTTCCCCAACCTTCCCCAAAGCTCTCTCTTCCAGTCCAACCTCAGAGCCTCCCCCACTGCCTGACTGGGAACTCTTTTACCCAAAGGCCTTGCCTGGATGCCTGCTTTGTGGGACTCTGGAGAATTCTGACCACCTTGACTTCTATTTCCACCGGCACTTACCAAACTTTTTTTTCCCCTTCTTCTGATCATGTGGTTGATTACTGTCTTTGCCAATGATCTTCAGGCTGTGACATCAGTGACTGGCCCAGGTGAGCATCTCAGGAATGCCTTGTGGCATACTGGCCACACCCCTGATCAGGTCCGACTTCTGTGGACTGATCCACGAAATGTGGGCTGGCGTGACAAGACTTCCTATCGCTGGCAGCTGCTGCATCGGCCCCAAGTTGGTTACATTCGGTGAGGAGAGGAGTTGGGCCCTACAGGGTGGGGCCCCAGGCTCAGTCCTTTCCTTCCCTCAGTAGCTAGGGCTCAACAGTGACCTCACCTCAGGATAATTCTTTAGTGGGGACTACAGCTAATTCCTTCCATCTCCCTCTCACTACAGACATGCCCTCTGTGAAACAAGGGCATTGGGTAAGCTAGATGCCTTTTCCCATTTTCTGGGAATCTGTGGAGCAGCTTAAGTGGTACATTCCGGACAGAACCAGCTCCATCAGCTTCTGACCTGGAAGGGATCATTTACAGAAGAGCAAACAGAAGCCCAGATCTCACAGTTCAGCATTTTGTCCATAAGTTTGCATTTCCCTCCCACAAGTATGCTCCCTAGTTAATGACGGTGACTAATGGAGGGAAGGGAAACTGATCTCCCTCAAGGCTGGACTTTCCATGGCTAAGAGCCCAGGGTCCAAGGGTCTGGGCTGATTCTTCTTTAAGGTGCCCTGGACTGTGGGGCGCCTGGGCCGGGGATAAAGGGGGGTGGACTAGAGCCTGGGAAGCGGGTGACTTCACCCCCCAGCCCATTGTGCTCATCGTCATGGCAACCCAATCCTCGCTTGGAATGTGGCTGGTGCTTTGAGATGCAAAAGGGGCTGGACAAAGAGCTAGGGGCCCCTGGCCTGAGAAAAAGCACCCCCTTTCCCTCCCCTTTCCTTCCTCCCCTCCCTTCTCTCAGGACGGGTGAGCTCAAGGGGGTGGGGGCTGGGGATGAACAAGGCCAGAGGAAAGGACACCAATGGATGCCCCTCATCCTGAACAGGGTGAAGCTCTATGAGGGTCCCCAGCTAGTGGCAGATTCTGGGGTAATCATCGACACATCCATGCGAGGAGGACGTCTTGGTGTGTTCTGCTTCTCCCAAGAAAACATCATATGGTCCAATCTCCAGTACCGATGCAATGGTGAGGCTCCAAACCAAGATCAACCTGACCCTTCTCATGTCCTGGGAAAGCCACATCCTCTGACCTTCTTTTTTCCCTTTCTTCAGATACAGTGCCTGAGGACTTTGAGCCATTCCGGAGGCAGCTACTACAGGGAAGGGTGTGAGGAGGTGGCCACCGGATTCAGAATTCTGATTTGAGACCCTTTGGCCTTGGGGTCCATTGTGGAGACCCTGGGATCTAAACTATAGCCCCTCAGCCAAATAGACCCTCCTCTGGCACCCATCAGAAGTTCAGCCCCAGAGGGGTAGTGATCACATAGTTCAGGGGTTGGGAAATTTTCAAGGGGTATTACTCAGGTACTAACCCCAGGAGAGATAACAGCCCCACTGCCATAAAGTTCCAGTTGTTTTCTAAGCCAGTGCAATTGCTTATTTTAGGGATTCCCCCTCCCCTCCCCAGCATATGGTGGGGAACAGAAAGAAGTTGAGGGGGTAAAAGAGAAAGGCTGGTAGGTTGTAAGAAATCTAGGGAAAGTTTGTGTGAGTTTGGGGAGGAGGAGAGAAAGGTGCCAGATAGGGTTAAGTGAAGGATGGGGTACTGGTCGGATGATGACTAAAGTCCTTCCAGCCCCACTTACTCACGGTGACAGCGTCGACACTCCAGTCTATCTTAGCCAGGATCGAAAACCAGGAAGGCGGGAGGGCTGCCCCATTCGGGATGAGGGGAGGCCGGGGGGCCGAGGGGGCCGGAGGCCGGGACGAGTGCAATATTGGCGGGGGAAAGAACAACACTGCACCGCGTCCCGTCCCTCCCGCCCGCCCGGGGGCGGGGGGGAACCCAAGGACCAGGGCGCGTTAAGGAGTTGGCTTCATCTTAAAGGCCGGCCAAAGACTTGGCGCTCCAAAAGGTGAAAGGGATGGTAAGGGGGGGGGGGTCGGAGAAGAAGAGACCGTGACACCCTCGAAGGCCGCTTCCCGACGCTTGGGAGTTGCGCGCGCTTGCTCTTTAAATACTCAGACTGAGCGGCGCGGAGCGGTCGCTATGGTGACGCGTGTCCCAGCAACGGAACTGAATGGCAGTTGCCTGGCAACTCCGGTAGTTGAGGTTTGGGACCGCCCACTTAGATACTTGTACTTTCTCCCGCCCGCCCGCCCGCCCGCCCGCCCGCGGATGGGGAGCCTTCCCCGCCTCCAGCCCGCGGGCCTCGGCGCGCTTACGCACCGCAACCCCGCCCCCCTGCCCGGGTCCGGAGCCCGCCTCGGGCACCCACCGCGGCACAAAACAGCTCCTTGGAGGTCGAGCGGGACGGCCCCAGTGCCCACATCTCAAGACCAGGCTTCCCCGCCCTCCCCCATTCCCACGCCGCCCTGAAATCTTTAAAAAAAAATGCTTTCCAATCTGGATCGTCAGAGCTGAGAATCGTTTTTCCAGTACAGTCGTAACTGCTTCGGCTTAGACCACAGCCCAGCAGCGCAGAATCTCGCCTGAGATCTTCAACTCCGGGGGGCTGTGGTCCCAAAGGCCGGGGCCCCGTAGTATTTCAGCCCTTCAAAAGACCTCTCGTTTCTCACACATTACCAACGTCTACAGACGGTTTTGCCCTCCCACTACATGTATACCTGTCCCAAATACTACTTTCTGAAAGTTCTGTACCCCCTAAAACTTGTTCGGCAGTCCAACCTACTCAGGGCTTCCCAAATATCCAACTTCCCCCCCTCCCACATTCCAATGTCCCCTCCCACATACCTCCAGGCCCCTTCCACATTCCTCAGGACCCACCCACTTAGAGCCATTTCCTGCAGACAGCACCTGAAGCTCGAGAGGCTCCCACCTACCGTTCCCAGCCCCTCCACTGTACTCTGCGTCCCTCCTGCTCCGTCCCAGGCCATTGTTCTTCTCACCAGGGTCTAGCTTCCCCAGGATCTTTGACCCCACTTGGGCTATGCTGCTCAACCCCCCCTCTCCACTCCACTCGGAGGCCGCCCCCTCGACTCTTGAGGGTCGGTCCCTCAAGACTCGTGGTGACCACTAGAGGGCAGGAACTTCGAGTCCGCGGTGCCGGCTGGCTGCCACTGAGGTGAAGGGTTGCGAAGGACCTTAGGGTTCCTCGGAGCCCAGGTTTCGTCCTTTAAGTGGAAATTCCCCCCCCCCCCTTCCCTTCTCAAAGAGAAAGCTAAGGAAGGAACTCAGGCTTCTGGGAAGTCCAGCCAGGGCGGGGATGTGGGTTTCAGGGTAGAAACACACGTGGAACACGAGGCGGGGAGCGGTAAGAAGGGTGGGGCTATTCCGGGAAGTGGGGGATGGGGGAGAGAGGGAGCCCAAAACTAGAGCCTAGTCCACTCATTATGAAGCCTTCTTATTTCTTCCCCCTCCAAAAGTAGGGCTGGAGGAAAGTAGGGAAGTGGAGGGAGGTGGGTTGTGTGTGTAGTGGTGGGCTTCTTGGCTACTGTCCAACCTGCTTTCTGCTCCCTTTCCTGACCTTAGTGGTTGCCCTGTGACTAAACCTGTAGCCAGGGGGCCCAGACTGCCCCCCCCCCCCCAGCACAGAGCCAGGGAGTGGTTGGTGAAAGGGGGAGGTCAGTTGGAAAACAAACAGGTTGTCATAAGGTTGAGTGATTGGAGCCCAAGTACCCTACCCGAGAATGGTTGGGGAGGAGGAGGAAAAGGTAGGAGGTACAGAAGGGGGGAGTGGGTGGAGTTTTGTCACCTGTCACCTGCTCCTGCTGTGCCTAGGGCGGGAAGGGGGGGGGACCGGTATAAAGCAGCAAGCGCCAGCCCAGCTCTACCTCATTCTCGGCGCCTGCTTGAATCTGCCCTGCCCCCTCCCCACCAGTCCACCACCATCATGGCTCGGGCCATCCAGGCCCCTTTCCTCCTGCTCCTGCTACTAGTGCTTTCCACAGGTGAGGTGCATGGGTTGGGAGGGACTGGCCCACTCTTGTGGTCTTCCTGGCCTTTCTGTGAGTTTTTGTTACTGGCAGATGGCAGCACAAGAGTCAGAAATTTCAGACAGGATGGCCCAGTCTGGAGAGGCTAAGTCCAGGCTGAGAAGAAGCGGCCCCTGCTCAAGCAGGAGTCTAGAGGAAAGGGAGTCAGGAGAGGCAAGTCTTAGTAGTGAGAATGGGCTTTCCAGGAGCACAGGAGAGCCGGAAGAGGGGGAGGTGGCCTGTTGGGAGGGGAGACTCAGGGGCTGCCTGCTTACTCTGATGTACACTCCAGCCCAATAGTTCTTATAACTTCTGGCCTTAGTTAGAACAGAAAAACAGACTTCGACTGTCCAATGCAACCAAGTGTCCAATCCTATTGAGAGAAAGGCTATATATGTGATTCCCAGTTTACTCCCCACCCTCAGCCCTGCTTCAGGCTCTGTTGCCGTTCCAGGTCACAAGGAAGGTGTCGTCTTAGGAACTTCATCTACTAACATTACAGCCCATTCTGGCACCCCAACGCCAACCACCAGTGCTTTATCAGTCTCTGCCACCGCCACTGTCCACACCAGCACCCCAACTCCAGCCACCAGCTCTGCATCAGTCCATACTGGCACCCCAACGCCAACCACCAGCTCTGCATCAGTCCATACTGGCACCCCAACTCCAACGACCAGTGCTACATCAGACTCTGCCACCACCACTGTCCACACCAGCACCTCAACTCCAACTACCAGCTCTGCATCAGTCCATGGTGGCACCCCAGTTCCAACCACCAGCTCTTCATCAGTCCGTACTGACACATCAACTCCAGCCACTAGTGCTACATCAGTCCATAATGGCACCCCAACTCCAACTACCAGCTCTGTATCAGTCCATACTGGCACCCCAACTCCAACCACCAGCGCTACATCAGGCTCTGCCACCACCACAGTCCACACCGGCACCTCAGCTCCAACCACCAGCGCTGCATCAGTCCATACTGGCACCTCAACTCCAACGACCAATGCTACATCAGACTCTGCCACCGCCACTGTCCACACCAGCACCTCAACTCCAACTACCAGCTCTGCATCAGTCCATGGTGGCACCCCAGTTCCAACCACCAGCTCTTCATCAGTCCGTACTGACACATCAACTCCAGCTACCAGCTCTGCATCAGTCCATAATGGCACCCCAACTCCAACCACCAGCTCTGTATCAGTCCATAATGGCACCCCAACTCCAACCACCAGCTCTACATCAGGCTCTGCCACCGCCACTGTCCACACCAGCACCCCAACTCCAACCACCAGCGCTGCATCAGTCCATACTGGCACCCCAACTTCAACCACCAGCACTGCATCAGTCCATACTGGCACCCCAACTCCAACCACCAGCGCTACATCAGGCTCTGCCACCACCACAGTCCACACTGGCACCTTGGCTCCAAACACCAGCACTGCATCAGTCCATGATGGCATCCCAACTCCAACCACAAGTGCTACATCAGGCTCTGCCACCACCACTGTCCACACCAACACTTCAACTACCAGCTCTGCATCAGTCCATGGTGGCACCCCAACTCCAACCACTAGTGTTACATCAGGCTCTGCCACCACCACTGTCCACACCAGCACCTCAACTCCAACCACCAGCTCTGCACCAGTTCACAATGGCACCCCAACTCCAACCACCAGCTCTAAACCAGATTCTGTCACCACTACAGTCCACACTGGCACCTCAGCTCCAACCACCAGCACTGCATCAATCCATGAAGGCACCTCAACTCCAAACACCAGCACTGCTTCAGTCCTGGGTAGCACCCCTGTTATTGCTTCTACAGTCTCTGTTGGCAACAGTACTCACTCTTCAACTCCTAGCCAGCAGTCTGCTACCCCTACCACCCTTGCCAGTGCTAGCAGCAGCACCGTTGCCAGTAGTACAGTACCTCTTGACTCCACCAGTCACAATTCTTCCCAGTCACCTGTTAAGGACTCCCTCTTCTTCCTGTCTTTTTCTATTTTAAACCACGAGTTTAACTCTTCCTTGGAAGATCCTACAACCAACTATTATAAAGAGCTGAAGAGAAACATTTCTAGATTGGTGAGTATCTACATTTCTGCCATGCTTTCTTTTAAAAGTAGCCTTCCATAACTGCTTTAATCCTTTACATCAAGCCTAAGTCCTTTCTCTCCTACCACAGTTTTTGCAGATTTTTAACCAAGATTTTCTGGGCCTCTTTGATATCAAGTTCAGGTATAGTTGTAGGGAATGGGTATTGTCATAATTGTGGGGAGGGACTGGGGTGCCCTTTTGATGGGGGAAGGGAGGGAGGGAGAGAATACTGAGCCAGAAACTGGGGTCTATGGCTAAGTTGTTTATTTCTTATGACCAGGCAAGGATCAGTGGTGGTGGAATCCATTCTGGCCTTATCGAAGGCCATCAGTGCCGACGAGGTGAAATCAAAGGTTATGCAGCATGGCGAGAATTCCAGCTATGGTCTGATCATCTCAGAAGTCAGTGGTGAGGCTATATCCCCAGCTGTAGTTCAGGACCACAGAGAGCCCCTCTCCTCCAGCCTGGGTTCCTACTCTTCCCTTTGGTGCTAGCTGGGAGAGGACCACCCCTTTCTGAGGACCTCTTTGACCACTGCTTTTTCTTTTAGCACGTGACGTGCTGCCTCCTTCCTCTGCTCAGTCTTGGTCTGGTGTACCAGGCTGGGGCATTGCCCTGTTGGTACTGGTCTGTGTGTTGGTCACAATAACCATCATCTATCTCCTTGCTGTGGTAAGTGTTCAATTCTGGCCTTTACCAGAATGCTTCTGGTGAAAGGAGCCACTTGGCCCACCATAACCTCCTGTCCCCCCAGACTGTGTTTCAGTGCCGGCGAAAGAACTATGGGCAGCTAGACCTCTTTCCAGCCCGGGACACCTACCATCCAATGAGTGAATACCCCACTTACCACACCCATGGGCGTTACATAGCTCCTGGCAATACCAAACGTAGCCCCTATGAAGAGGTAAGGCTAGATCACACTGGCAGGGTGTAGGGGTAGAGGCCTAGTTGGGCCTTAAAAAGTCCAAAGAGGGCTGGGAAGGTGGCTCAGTGGCAGAGCACTTGCCTTGCATGCCTGAGGCCCTGGGTTCGATTCCTCAACACCACATAAGCAAAAAGAAAAAAGCCAGAAGTGGCGCTGTGGCTCAAGTGGTAGAGTGCTAGCCTTGAGCTGAAGAGCTGAGGGACAGTGCCTAGGCCCAGAGTTCAGGCCCCACGACTGGACCCAAAAAAAAACAGTTCAAAGAGCAGGGCACCAGTGGCTCACGCCTGTAATCATAGCTACTCTGGAAGCTGAGGTCTGAAGTATACGGTTCAAAGCCAGCCCAGGCAGAAAGTCCAGGAGACTCTTATCTCCAATAAACTACTAAAAAACCAGAAGTGCCACTGTGGCTTAAGTAGTAGAGCACTTGCCTTGAGCTGAAGAGCTGAGGGACAGCGCCCAAGCCTAGAGTTCAAGCCCCACGACAGACCAAACAAACAAACAAAACAAAAAGTCCAAAGAACTTGGAAGAAGTGAGTAGAGAGGCCCTGCGAGGATGGGGTGGCAGTCAGAAGAGTTCTGGAAGACAGCCTGAGGAGGGGAACCACCTTCACTACCAGCCCAAAAGATCCTGGCCTGTCCACATTAATTGTGGCTGAACTGGCCCTGGCACGGAGGCAGTGCTCATTAGGATGGCCCAGAGGCAAAATGGGTGTGGATCTGTGCTCCGGGGAGCCCTTCCTGCCAAGTCACAAGCAATAGCTCAGCACCTGTGCTGACACCTCCTATGAGTGGGGAGTAACTAGGGAGGGCTGAGGGGCTGTGACAGAGAGGAAGAGTCTCCTCAAGCCAGGAGATCCTGGAATGGGTTTGGGAGCCTCCAGGAAGAGAGGCCCCCTCCCTTTTCTCTCTTGACCTTTTTCTACAAGACCTAGTAAATAATTACTGTGGCCACCTGGAACTGGAAAGCCACTGGTGGGGGAGGAGACAAGTTTCCTTTTCTTGCTATTTCTTCCTCTTGGGGGAAACGCTCCCTTTTTCAGCTGTACACACACTCGCATACTCGCACGCGCGCGTGCACACACACACACACCCTTGGGCTGGATACTCGCGCGCACACACACACACACACACACACACACACACACCCTTGGGCTGGATTTGGGAGGTGATACACACACACACACACACACACACACACCCTTGGGAGGTGATACACACACACACACACACACACACACACACACACACACACACACACACACACACACACACACACACACACACACACACACACACACACACACACACACACACACACACACACACACACACACCCTTGGGCTGGATTTGCCAAGAATGGAAGGAAAAGGGGGCAGGAGGGGCACTTAGGAGAGGGAGTATAGAGGAGGGGGAGGTGATTGTTTACAGTCACCTGGTTGCTCTGGGGCCCAGCAGGTGCTCTCCTTGAATTAACCCATTGAGAGCTGACTAGGCCTAGCAGGTAGTTTCTACCTCTCATCACAAATCTCTTTTCTCTCCACTCAGGTTTCTGCAGGCAATGGTGGCGGCCTCTCTTATACAAACCCCGCAGTGTCAGCTACTTCTGCCAACTTGTAGGGAGCATTTTACCCACTCAAGGGTCATCAGTGCTGGTCCCCTCCCTCAGGTTCTTCACTGCCAGAAACCCTCTCTATTCTGACCTGGGCTGGTGAACTGGGATTTCTGGTGGGCTGCTTCACAGCCTGCTCCAGAGGAGGCTTTGCTTAAATCCTTAACCCATTGTAGCCCAGTGAGGCCCAGCTCTGCCCCAGGGGGGACATACTGGGGACTTTGTGGGGAGCCCTGGTGGCTCCCAAGAGGACTGGCCTAGAAAGCCTTGAGATGGGGATGGGAACCAAACATGGCTGAATAAAATGTGATCTCTCCTCTTGTGCTAACTTGTGATTCTTCATTTGCAACTGGTGGGTAGGAGGGGCAGATCACCATGAGCCTGTGAGGGGCCTGGAAGGAAGGAAGGGAAAGTGTCAAGGAGGGGTGGGCTCATTTTCAGAGGCAGAGTGGGCAAGAGGTGATATTGGAGCACTCAGGGGTGGCCTGCCTAAGAACTCACCTCTCCCCCATCCCTGGCGGCACAGAAGGAAGAAGGAAACGAAACCTAGGCCAAGCCTAGGCTGGCTCCAGTGGGCCGGCTACACTAAGCTCTGCCTGTGTGTCTGAAGCTCTTTCCTTTACCCTTCTCATGGGTCTGGGTTTCAGTCAGACTAGTACTAGCCCTCCTCTCTGGCTGGCACAGTGCCCCCAGGAGGTTCTATTCTTAGCTGTTTGGGTGTGAAGTAAATCCTTAGGCAACAGATAGCAGCAGAGTCAACACTGCTGCGATAAGTGGGGGCTGGGTCAGATCCGGGTTGTTGGCACCAGGCCCTGCCTCTCTGCCACCCCCACTTTCTACCACCCTCCTCCCCATCCATAGACTGCTTCTCGGTGGGCTCCCTGGCACCCTGGGAATGGGGAAGTGGTTCTGGTTCCCTGACCCCTTTGGGCCCAGGCACTGTGCCCATGTCCTCAACCACATTCCCCCAGGGCCCTGATGCCCTCTGGACACCCCATCTAGGACCTGATGCCAGCAGTCAGAATGCTACGCACCCTGGCGGCTGTTGCTGGTTGTGGCCTGAGCCTGGTGCAGGTGTGGCCAAAGCTGGTAGAGTAACTGCCTAGCAGCCCTCCTTCCTTCCTTCAGATCCACCTGGTGCCCCTGCAACTGATCAACAGCAAGGTACCCTGGAACCCCACTACCCCCATGTTCTGCATAAACTACAAAGAATGGTCACACTCAGGAAAGGCAGAAATGTGCCTGGCATCACAGTTTATTGTTTATAAACCATGAAAAGTATAGCTGTTGCTTCACACAGGCCTAGTGGTGGCTGCCACAAGGAGGCAGCAGCAGGCACCAGAGGCCTTGCCTGGCCCGATCCAATGGAGACACACAGCCTTAGCTGAGTCTCCAAAAGAGACTTGGCACATTGGCATGGGTGCAGGACAGGTAAAGCATGCAAAAGGGAGAAGAGGGACATAAAGGACATGCGGCCAGGGGTACGAGGACCCAAATAAATAAAGCAGGATAGGGTCCTTCCCCCTTACTAGGGAGGCCCAAAGCCTGCCTGCCCCAAAGCTATAGTTCAGCATCAATGGGACAAGGGACCTTGGCAAGGCAAAGGACAGAGCTGGTAATCATGACCAATGTTCCAATTGCCATGCCTCCCAAACAGCCTCAGGGGCACAGGACAAGGATTAGGAAAGGGGCTCTCTATGGCCTGGGTGTGGTGCCAAGGGCAGGGCATGGGGCAGAGACTAGGTGGGCATGGGGGCCTGGGCTAACAGGCAATGGAGAGAATGGAGGACATTCAGAGGTGAGCAGATGAGAGCCTCTTGGTAAGCAAAAATCCTGGGAAGACACAGACTGAGGGGACAGGGTGGGACCACATATTTGGAAGAGTCTGAGGGAGAAGCTGCCGGGGTGGGGGGGGGGGGGAACAACCCAGTGCCAGGAAGCTTGGGGTGGGGTGGGGGGGCAGTGTCCAGCGAGACCCCAAGTCTAGAAACGGAATCTAAAAGGATCAGTCCAGCTTGGCAAAGCCTCCGATGGTAACCTTCCTCTCCGGCTTGGTGCCCACAGGCTCCTGTAGCTGTACTGCACCACCCCCGATGAAGCAGAAGGCAGGGCACACAGGCCCTGAGCAGTCCAGGGGGCATTCCAGGAGCCCACGGAAGGACACAGCATCCAGAAAGGAAACTCGGCCCCGCTCATAGTCCAAGCAGATGCCCAGTCGGGGTGGCAGAGGTACAGTGCAGCCGGCTGCTGGGCCATCCCTCCCAGTCAGCCCTGCATTGGCACTTGCTCCAGATCCCAGCAGGATCTTGCCCATGCCGATGGTCAGGAAAGCAAAGGGTGGTGACGCCTCGACGGTGGCATCCTCAGCACCGCTGTCGTGCCCGCTGTCCGGGTCATACCTGTAGGAGTGGGCATTGGGTAGGAGGATGTTGGGGGAATGGAGTACAAGAGTGAGGGACCAGGGAGCTGAGATGTTGGGATAATGGAATGTTGGGGAGTAGGAGGCTGCATGGATCAACTTTGGATTGAAGAGAAGGCTTAGGTCATGGTTTGGGAGGAAAGGGGTACTGAAGGGAAGGCATGCTGGCAGGGGAAGTGTTGGGGAACAAGGAAAGACAAGGCGTTGATACATCACACTGAGGACATCTGTGCAGAGCTTATGGAGATAGGATAGTGTTGAGGAACACGGTGTTGGGGAAATCATGTTAGGGACAGGAGATATTGGAAAAAGGAGGGACTGGGGATTATGACACTGGGAAAAATGAGCAGAGAAAGGCATTGGGAGAGGCAAGAGTGAAGTGGGGGGGGGGCGGTTAGAGGAATGAAGGAAGGGTATGGAAAGAAAGTGCTGTTGAGAAGAAATGGAGAGGGCTGGGAAGGTGGCTCAGCGGTAGAGCGCTTGCCTTGCATGCATGAGGCCCTCGATTCGATTCCTCAGCACCACATAAGTAGAAAAAGCCGGAAGTGGGGCTGAGGTTCAAGTGGGAGAGCGCTAGTCTACAGCTGAAGAGCTGAGGGACAGCGCCCAGACTGAGAGTTCAGGCCCCACGACCGCCAAAAAGAAAAAGAAAAGTAAAAAGAGAGAAGAAATGGGGTGTGGGGGAATAGAGTGCTGGGGAGAAAGGGTTCAGGGAGAAAAGTGCGCACGTGGGAAGGTGTTAAATAGGATATGGGGGTGAGTAAGGAAGGTTGTGGAGATGAGATATTTAAAGGAAGAATGTTAGGATGTTGAGAAAAGATGTGGGTGACGGAGATCTTGACTAGGAAAAGTTTCATGGAGAAAGGAGGTTGGAAATGGAGTGCTAGGAGAAAGGACATGGAGGCTTGGAGAGGTCCTGAGTGACAGATGGAAGGAAGAGGTAATGACTTTGTCTTCTGTCATCCTTTTCCCTAACTACGTACTCTGAACACCAATATTCAAGGACCCTCTTGCTGAGCCCATATCTTCTTTGTCCCCTCCCAGCCTCACCCCCACAAGCATGCGCTATTTTTGCCATACCCTGCTCCCAACTCCCATGCAGGATCCCCAAACCCCATCTCTTCCAGAGGGGCCTGACCTGGGGCTGATCACATCAGGGGCACCCTGGAAGCTTTCCTGAAGCTTGCTCTCCAGCCCGACGCCCACCTTGACCAAGTAGGAGGCAGGGTCTACAGCGCAGGCCCAGTAGCTGCGGCCCTGGGTCACAGCCACATCGCCCAAGACCACGTCCACACTCAGGTGACAGCCGGTCAGCAGCCTTTCAGCAGCCAGCAGCAAGGGCAGTCCTGGAACACTCCGCACTGCTCGCTGGTCCTTGCTGATGGCCAGCCGCTCTCGGCTTGCACCCCAGCGGCCATCGAGGAAGAAGTGCAGGACTGGAAGGGGGAGGAGGGGTTGGAACAGAAGGAAGGACTTAAGGGACAAACAAACACTAGCACTGGGAATAGTGAGGTGTTCACACAAGACACTGGGAGATTTCAGAATGGTGAACAGGTTGGCTGGGGGTTCAGTTACCAAGAATGTGCTCCAGAGAACAGAAATTCTGAACAAGTGAAATTAGGAGGCAAGATGGAAGAAGAAAGGGGCATGCCATATGGGCATGGGACCAGAGGAAGAGTTCTGTGAAGACTAATAGCATAAAAGCCAGTGTCCCAGACCTGGCTGAATAACATGCTTCTTTCAGTCCTCCTATAGTTGGTCCTGTGAACAATGCCCACTGTTGTCCTGCTCCATCTGGTGACATTCCCACCACCACCTTCCTGTGCCTATCAACTCCCATTCCCCACACCAACCTTTACTCTCTTGTGCCCCTTGAGTGGTAAGTTTCCCTCTATCATACCCATGCCCAAGAGTGTAAGAATTCTCTAGTGTGTCACATTGCTAACCTTTATTGAGCCTTCACTATGAGCCCTAAACTGGCTATTATTATTATTTTATTATTTGAGACAGGGTATTGCTACGTAGTCCAAGCTGACCTCAAACTCATGATCCTCCTCCTCAGTCTCTTGAGTCCTTCTGGGATGATAGGTATGTACTACCATCATTGACTTTCCTGCTAAATCTTTTTTTTTTTTTTTTGTCGGTCATGGGGCTTGAACTCTGGGCCTGGGTGCTGTCCTCAGCTCTTCAGCTCAAGGCTAGCGCTCTACCACTTGAGCCACAGCGCCACTTCTAGCTTTTTCTGTGTATGTGGTGCTGAGGAATCGAACCCAGGACCTCAGGCATGCAAGGCAAGCGCTCTACCACTGAGCCACCTTCCCAGCCCCCCTGCTAAGTCTTTTATTGGTATTATCTCACAATAGTTTAACTCTTTTTTTTTTTTTTTTTTAGGTCCGGTTGTGGGGCCTGAACTCTGGGCCTGGGCGCTGTCCCTCAGCTCTTCAGCTCAAGGTTAGCGTTCTCCACTTGAGCCACAGCGCCACTTTCCGGCTTTTTTCTTTTTGCTTATGTGGTGCTGAGGAATCGAACCCAGGGCCTCAGGCATGCAAGGTAAGTGCTCTACCACTGAGCCACCTTCCCAGCCCCCTTTTTTTTTGTCGGTCATGGGGCTTGAACTCTGGACCTGACCGCTGTCCCTCAGCTCTTCAGCTCAAGGCTAGCGCTCTACCACTTGAGCTACAGCGCCACTTCTGGTTTTTTTTCTGGTGGTTTATTGGAGATAAGAGTCTCAGGGACTTTCCTGCCTGGGCTGGCTTTGAACCGTGATCCTCAGATCTCAGCCTCCTGAGTAGCTAGGATTACAGGCTTGAGTCACTGGCGCCTGGCTAATAGTTTAATTCTTATGACAACTGTACTCCTATACAAGAGGACTCTTAAAGTTCAGAGGAGGTGAAAAATAGGTCAAACCC